TTAAGGGTCCAGGGTTTAGGGTTCAGGTCACCAGACAACCCCCCAAAACTCTCGTGAAGCACTGACCACCATCTCTTGAGCCTCAAGCTCTTTTTATACCAGAGCCTAATGTAGGGGCCTTAAACTTAGAAAATAAGTGTTGGGGTCCATTATACTAGAAATGTACTAAGGCAACCCCCAAAATAGTATTGGTAACTATTTAGGCTTCTATATTAGATTCTTAAACCCGAAGTGGTCGCCCCAAAACCGCAAGCCCTAAAGTCCCCAAAGCCCGAATCCTCAACAACAAAAGCCTGCAGCCGGTTCGCAAGGGCCGCAGTCCACGCGCTGCCGCCCTGACAGGCACTGAGGGCGCTGCTGTAACCTCACAGGGCTCGCATCTTCTCAAAAACGCTTGCGTGGCGGCCTATGGTTTAGGGTTTCGGGGTTTAGAGGTTTTGGAGTTCAGGGCGGATGTCTTTGTCAGGGTCTGTCGGAATGGCTGCACGGCTTTATGCTCGTATGCTTACGGTGAAGAGTAAGATCCTAAAGCCCTACACTCTGAATTCCCCTTTTTTCATGTTGACAAAACTTGCAAAAGTATCCAAGACCTGTAGATGTTAAGACTTCCTGTGATTCATTCAACCTTGAGTGCAGGAAATCGCTTGGTGCTAGTCCCTCTTTGCAAGCATCCCAGTCGAATTTGTGACATACATACATATAGATCTATATTAGAGGATATTGAGAAACCGCAAACCGCTACGAAACCCTTACGCCGACGAGATTCGAACAAAGGATCGTCTGGCTGAGCGTACAGGCAGCCCTCTTGCCTGTCGACACGGTTTATAGGGTTTAGGGTTGAGATCCTGAACCGGGTGCCAAGCAGCTCACCACGTTGCGCCTCACCGTCGCGAATTCCATGCCTCGTACATGGGCCTAAATTAAAGGAATCGGGTTTTGGTTTCGGGGCATCTGGGTGCATATCAGGAATCACGTTGCTGACGATACATGAAGGGCTGCGGGCTTTTGAGGTTCGGATGGCTCGTCGGGAGATAGAGGGGCCTACTTAGCAGAGGGGTTTGGGATACGTTCTGGTACAGTTGCCATGGCGTCTCTAGACGAATATTGCTAGCAGTCATTCCGCCCCCTAAATTCCCCTTGACTTCAGAAGGGTGCCCTGTTGCGCGTCCATGTATAAAGGATGTGCCGGTGTAGCCTGTGGGTTCGTTGCGAATTCTCGGTAATCAAGGAACCTCAAACGGGGAGGTACGGTTTAGGGCTTTGGGTTAAGAGCTTAGGGCTTAGACCAAAAAACAATAGTGAAGATTCTAGATACCTCCACGTCAGGACATGCTTGGATCTCTTCTTTGAACCAGCAGCACCAATCGCTACTCCAGGGGAGGTAGCTGTTCCCCTACGGTTTAGGGTTTAGGGCTAGGGTGCCTCCTTAAAGTCTTCCAACGTCAACAGGGGGGCCACAAGACAGACAGAGGAACAAGGTACGTTGGAAGACCTCAAGCAGTACATCTAAAGCCACAGCCCCACTACACTAAATGTCTGGGCTGAGGGGTCTCCATGTTCATGGCTGGGGCTGTAGGTTCGGAGTCTAAAGGGTTCAGGGTTTCAGGGTTTAGAGTTTAGCGTTTAGGGTTTAGGCCGCAAGTGCAGCGTGGGTCGCAATCAAGCAATTCCAGCGCGAGCTGCCAGCGGCAGCCACGGTCACAGGCAGAAATGGCACCGCTGTAACTTACCACATTCCTCGGTCTTTGGGTGTTCCGGGTTTCGGGCCCTTTTTGAAGCCGGACTTGATGACTGCCTAAACCCTAAACCCTTCAGGACCCGAAACTATATATGTCTATAAACCCTCAACCCTACATCCTCGGAATCGCGCTGAAGGTCTGCAGGGCGAAGGCTTAGGATGAAGTTTGGGCCTTCCGTTGTCTTGCTCGGAGGGCCGGGGAAAGGCCAACTTTCGAGGCCTGAATAAGTAGAATGGGGTTTAGGGTATAGGGTCTGGTATACTGGTTTAGGGTTTAGGGTTCAGGGTATACTGTAACCGTATAGTATATGGGGCCTCATTCATCAAAACGGGCTTTGGGGTAGAATATACTCTGTATACTGTACTTCTGTCGTATTTGCGGTCGCTTGTCTTGGGAGGGCACCTGGACGTGCCCGGCGAGTGCAATTTTGCTCGACGCTAGAACGGACGCTTGTCTCCCTTGCTCTGCGCGTGCTAACAAAAGCCTGACAGCCAAGAACTGCCACAGCCAGGCCCTTCTAAACCCTAACACCTTTTGCAACGGCCTTGTCAGATCTCAAACCCTAAACCCTAAACCCTGAACCCTAAACCCTAACACCTAAACCCTCAACCCGTAACCCAAAACCCTAAACTCTTGACTCTAAACCATCCCGGTCTTGCTAGAAGCAGCCGGAGATTCGGTGTGGAGCTTGCCTCGCCCATGCAGAAAAGAAGCGCCAAGGCTCGTTCCCACTGCTCTCCTGCAGGGGTCTTGGTTTAGGGTTTAGGGTTTCGGGTTTGGGGTTTGGGTTTAGGGCTTCGGGTTTAGGCTTTGTTGGGTCAGGGTTTAGGAAATTAGTGGTTTAGGGATTGTACGTACTTGTTCAGCTCTCCAGGAGGGATGAAAACTACATGTTAACCCTTAGGAGTGTATTGGGACTACGATGTTACAAAGGTTGAACAGCAAGCTAAAAGCCTGCTTTCTCGAACTCAGTCTCCACTCTCACAAACATTCACAAACCCTAAGCCCTAAGCCCTAAAAGCTTGCTTTCTCTAACTGAGTCTCCACTCTCACAAGCGCTGATGGCACTACTGTAAGAGATGACGCTCGGGCTCAGACGAAGTGTCGAAATGCTCCCCAGCATCTCCTTGGTATGGTTAGGGTTCACATGTTTCAGGTTTTAGGTCTAGGGTGTTGGTCTAGGAAACTGGGGCATGAGTTTAAGTTGCCACGAGAGGGAAAATACAGATCACGGAACAGACAGTCCTATGAATGTGATTGTTCATTTAAACCCTAAACCCTAAACCCTAAACCCTAGCCTCAGCTACCACAGTAGAGCATGCTGTTATATACGTAGGTGACCTGCGTTAAGCTCTTTAACAAGAGCCCGGTCTCCAAAGAGAGCTGCCAGCACCCAGCTTTTGCACAGGCACTGATTGCAGCGTTAAGGCCTATGACGTCGGGCCTGCAGCCTGGACTGCTGTCAGAAAGGAAAACAAAACGGATCCTTTCATAAGGGTTTAAGGTTCGAAGACCCACGCTAAGCCGCAAAAACTGCATCTAGGAGCCTAAGCAATTACCAATACTATTTTGGGATTCCTTTTTATAAATATAGTATAATAGACCCCAAAACTCTGTTCCAATCATTACGGCTCCTGCATTCAGCAGGATGCTAACATGGATCAAGAGGCCGGTGGTGCCGAGGTCTACCAGAAGCACCGCGGCTTTCTGCCAGAGGCCCAACCTGTGCTCTCGTTGAAGAACTTGTACCATGAAGTTACCATATGGGAACAATAAGTTTTATGTGTGTAAATGTGTGTATATATATATATATGTCTGTGTATATATATATATATATCTCTCTCTCTCTCTCTCTGTATGTATGTATGTATGTATGTATGTATGTATGTATGTATGTACGTACGTAGGTATGTATGTATGTATGTATGCATGCATGCATGTATGTATGTATGTATGTATGTACTTATGTTTATAAAAGTACAGACAGATATTTATGTGTATGTATATATATATATGTATGTATATATGTATATACACACCTGCCCGTGTCCGTATATTGGTTTACTTGTGTATGAATAAGATATGAATATAAATATAAACACATTCTTATATATACACATCATCTTCGTACGGAAACCATTTTTAGGCACGTATAGGCGATACCATAATAGGTACGCACAGCATCGCATAGAACTTGCTTTCCGTATTGTAACAGTTTGAACCAACTTGCTCAGCAACCCTAAACCCCTTAAGCCCAATACTCTGGCCCAAAAAAGTTTAAACTTTTCTTTTAGTACGGGTTTAACATACCGAAACAGTTTAAAGTTTACCTATTGGGCTCCGAAGAAACCCGAAAGAGAGCCCAGTGACTTCTCACAAGCGGAGACCCCGCTGTTGAAGGAGATCACGTTGGGGCGCAGCTGCACAGAGAACATGCACCTTAGTGTTGTGCTTTAGGGTTTAGGGTTTAGGGTTTCTGGTTGTCGAACAGGCTTTAGGATCTAAGGTTGAGGGCCTGTGCCATATAGAAAACGTTATGCAGTCAAACCCAGCGGGGCGCTTGAGGCCCTCAGAAAAGATCGACGAATGCAACCACTGAGTTACCATATACGCTGCGTCTTCTTGTACTAGGATCCCCAGTGGCCTAGGAATAAGAAAGGGCTCCCTCCGTGGCATCTGCGCAGTTTTACAAGGAACCTAGGGCCACAGAAGAAAGGGAAAAGGGCCCGTCGGGAGACCTACAGTAGAATAATATAGGGGCCTTCATAATTAGAATAGGGTTTGGGGGGTCCTTATTATGCATATAGTTTTATATACCCCAAACCCTTTTCTAATTAAGGCCCCTATATTAATGAGGGCCAACGTTCGAACCGGTGCTCTTCACTGAGTCACACAACTGAACCAAAATAGGTAACTACTAACTTACTTGTCCATTGTCCATGGGGGAACGAAATACGGTTCACCTTTGGGATTTAATACAAAGATTATAGTACCCCAAAAAGGTTAAAGGTTGCTTTCTACTACTAAACCTCTACCTTCCCTTGCTACGGGATGATTGCAGGACGACGACCTGCCGATCATCTTGACTGACGCCGACACACAAGCACCGACACCGAAGATGCTTTGCTGAAGAGACAAGCTGTGTGCTCATGACACCTTTTTACACCTTATCTACTGCTCATGACACCTCGAACCCCAAACCCTGAACCCGAAGGCTTTGCTGAGGTACCGCAGAAGGTCCAGGGCGATCTGCCACTTCTCGGTCTTGTCACAGGCACTGATAGTGCTGCTGCAAAGGATGACGCCAGGAGCCAGCAGCCTGGAATACATGCCTGGGTCTGGCTTCTCGACAGTTTTACTACTGGTTTTGTTTGTTGGGCTTGGCTTCTCGACAGTTTCGATGTATGTCTATGCAACAGTACCAGCACTAGGCTTGGTTGGGTCTGGGTTCTTAGCAAAGTTCATGTGAGAGGATAGGGACTACAATTTTGCAACGAACATTCTTTCCGTTCTCCTCGTCATTAGAAGTACATCAAAAACTGACCTTCTTGTTCCAACTACTCTTATGATCACTCCAGCTCCTTCCCCGCTGCTCGGTGTGTAAGAGAGCGGAAAAGCAAGTCTTCATAGCAAAACTTTTGCCCAAAGCGGCCAAGGCTTCAATGCAGGAGCTGTAGGGAAACCAGCCACTGGCCCACCTTGGCGCAGGAGCCCACGGCGGATCCGAAAGCCACGGATCCTGGGACGACTCTCCAGGAACTTCCCGACCTCGTCCCCTCAAGTGCCGAAGGCCACTGGTCGCCTTAATGTAGAGGCCTTAATAGTTTTTAATAGGGTTTTAGGGGGTATATTATATTACCCTGAACCCTTATAGTATCATTACAATAAGGAACTCCCAAAAAATAGCATAGGTAGTATAGGTAATTATTTCAGGCCGCTATATTACTTGTCCAGCTTCCTACAGGTTCTTTCTATCCTTTGAGATTGCAAAGGGAAGATCGTACCCCTCGAAGGTAAAGGTTGCTGCCTCTACTGTTAAGTTGCATTTGTGGCCACTACCTGCGCTGGCAGCCAACATCTCTAGCCGGTGTACGCACGGAGCTGGCCCAGGGGCGGAGATCAATTGGCTCTTCTAGGACGCTTGGTTGAACCAACGGCGGCAGAGAGCTGTGGAAATCTTCCGGTGCGGCATGGTAACACCCCCATCCTGCATCCTCGACCCTCAACCGGCCGGAACTTTGACAGAAGGCCATGCCAAGAATGAATTCTGCCAGGGTGAATGATGGAGACTGGCGAGAACAACGATGGCAATGAGACTGCCGCGTAAGAAGAACGGAGGCACGACAAACATGTTGACTGACAGACATGTTGATGCTAGTGCTGCCACCGCTGATGCGTGCAACATGCCTCAACTTCAGATGTTGATGCTGCTGATAGTGACCTCCTTCCGTATGATGTGCACTAAGGACGGCTGGGTGGTCTCTTCTAACAGGCTTCCTTCTCGGGAACAACAAACAACAGTTTCTTGGAATCCTGGCCTGCTTGAGGTCTGTGCTATCGTAATAACTGACAGCTACAGCTGCACAGGTACCTCGGTGGAAACCATGGTCTACAAGAATCTCCGGAGGCCTAACAGGCAATCAGCGTGAAAACTTTGTCCTGGCGTTCTGCCTTGATCAGGTTCGACCGGACCTGTCAAGAAGTGTCGGAAGGAGGGTCTGCTTACAAAAGGTCACTTGAGGCTTTCAACATCAGTTGCATGATAAACGTTTGGAGAAAGTAGGAAGCCCTGAACAAGTTTTGGGGGCAGGACCACAGCAGACTCGGTCCTAGGATTACAAACTTAGGGGCCTTGATACCTAAAATAGGGTGTTGGGGCACCTTATCGTGCACTTATGTGCACAGTATAGGAGGCTTAATAATTAGAATAGGGTGTTGGAGCCCATTATACAATATCTATAGTAAGGAACCCCCCCCACCCAAAAAAAAATAATAATAGTATTGGCAATTGTTTAGGCCCTTCGGCGGCTCAAGGCTGATTGGTTGTTTCGACTGCTCGGCAAGGCAGGCGATGATGTAGGACAAACTCTGTAGCAAGGAACCACCAGAATAGTGTTGGAAATGATTTAGGCCCCTATATTAGGGTTTAGGGTTTAGGGTTTAGGGTTTAGGGGCCCCTATATTAGGGACTATAAGAGAAGACTATTGCCACTAGGACTTTCGTATGAAACCCTAAACCCTAAACCCTAAACCCTAATCCCTAAACCGTGCTTCTGGATCCTCCGGGCATGATACCCTTTTGCAACTGGCCTGCAACGACTCCGCCACGTAAAGGCACGACCCTAAACCCCTAAAAGTCCCTAAACCCTAAACCCCTAAGCCCCTAAACCCTAAACCCTAAGCCCCTAAACCCTAAACCCCTAAACCCCTAAACCCTATAACCCTAAACCCCTAAACCCTATGACCCTAAACCCTTAGCCCCTATAACCCTTTTTGCATCCAGGACTCTTGCAAGCCTAAACCCCTAAACCCCTAAACCCCAAAAGACAACCTGCCAGACCCGGATTCCTTGAATACAAGGAGGGACCCAAAAACGCCCAGAAAGAATGAAGCCCGAAGTTGGGAGATCTCGTGATCCTCTCTTCAAGCAAGCTAAGTAAGTAGGACATTTGCCTACATCCCCCTACCCTGAAGCCCTCAACCGCGCGAGCGACCGACCGAAACCCCCTCCGAACTGGTAGCCAAGGCCCGGCTAACACTCGACACAACTTGTAGCGAAAGTGCGGGCTTTCTGTCGCGCTAAAACCCCCCGCCTGCAAAGCCCCGTAAACCCTAAACCCCTAAACCCCTAAACCCTAAACCCCTAAACCCCTAAACCCCTAAACCCCTAAACCCTAAACACCCCCATCCTTCAACTCCAATAACTCGGCCCAGGGCCCCGAAGCTCCAAGCCCACAAAGCCCCGCAAAAAACTGTCTGGTGCTTAGTAGGGAATGGGGGAATGGGTTATAGGGACTACTATAAGGGACCTCAAGGGACTATCATAGGGATCTAAACCCTAAACCCTAAACCCTCAACCCTAAACCCTAAACCCTAAACCCTAAACCCTAAACCCATTGTGTACTAAGCAAGAGACAGAAAAACCATCAACCCGGTAAAGTCTCTCAGTCCAACTCCCAAATCGTTTTAGGGTTTAGGGTTTAGGGTTTAGGGACCCCGACCCCAAAAACCCTAAACCGAGTGCTTGGGGTTTTGGTGGGAGGGTTTAAAGCTTGGGGGTTTTGGCCTTTTTGTTGCCTCCCGCCGGCTAAACCGGACCTTATCACTATGCAGAGCAGAATACACTCTAGGGCTTTAGGAGGGACCCTTAATAGGGACCCTTGTAGGTTATGGGGGTTAATATGAAGACTACCTGGCGATATAAGGGGTATATAAGGACTATACAATGGTTATTTAAGGTCATGGGATTAAGGGTCCCTATTAGGGGTCCCTCCTAAAGTCCTTAGATACACTGGTGGACAGATCAAGCTGCAACTCCACTCTCTTACTTCGAGGCCCAGGGAAGTGCGGAGTAGGACGCCTAAGAGCTGCCAGAGACTCCAATACCCCTTAATCGCTTCCCCCATTTATTAAAT